CCCCGTACATTTACCCTGAAAACTAAAATATCGCTCACAGTCTGGTGTCGATACATGCAAAATCATCCCCCGATGGACAAGTGTTGTCGTCCGTGGTCATACGTCACGTCCGCAATCGCTTCCATACTACAGTGACGCCTTGAGTGCACTGTGGATGATGAAAGCCAATATCGTCATTCACGCGGGATTGGTCATCGCAACGATCATGTGCAGCCCCTAGAAATTGTAAACAATCCATGCCAGAATATCAAATTCCAAGCAAAAGACTACTTCATGCAGTATTCACATATAATCGGTACGTTTGCGACACAAGTTTTAAAGTCTATATTCATTAAAGTTTCATCGCTTAAATATACGTTTTCTCTTCCAAAGTAAAAATTGGTCTAAATGTTACAATTATTACGAATTTATGTAACAATGAACTTCTGCCTTCTATTCAAGATGCTTGGAATCGAATAGTTTCACAAGAATACCAACAATTTAAACTGAAAGGAATATTGATATTTTTTTACAATCTCGATGAGGTAAAACGCAGTATTTTCAATCTGATTTTTATTTTTACTCGCTCCCTTTGATAAATAGCTGATCCATAATAATTGAATTATAAATATGAATTGGTAATATAGACTTTTCACATCCCGTTCATTGGATCCATTCTGTAAAGCCCTTTGAATACAGGTGTATAATATTGCTCAAAAAGATTGGTGCCGGGTATTCAATCCTAAAATGAAAACGAGGTTTTTGAAAGTTTTAGAAAAAATACTGCTTCACATGAATTTTGAGTATTACTTATAAATTCAGAGTCTTTGAATGCAAAATATCTATTTCTGTCCTAAGTGAATTAAATTCGATACACTGACTCTGAACTCGCGGAGCCTTCCGTGGATTGGGGCCTCCAGTTGATCTCAGCGAAAACCTAACGTCAAGTTCGTGATCTACAGACCGGCACCAGTCTTATTTAAAATAATCGCTATTATAGCAATCTGGACAGTCATACTTGTCACTTATGAATGATACTAGCTAGCTGCTAGCCAACGTCACGCGTACTCGCTGTGAACGTCACCTATGGAGAACTAGCAGAACGACCTATGAAATATAATTTACAGCTTAGGCCAGAGAAACTACAAATGACCTCCGGTAGTGTCAGCCCTGAAGCAGATATTAAATTACAACAGAGCCAAACATTGGTAGCTGAAGCCTCATGACGTGTAGGCAAGCACGTACAGCTACAGAACCAGTGAACATCAAGTGAGCAACAGCTAGTACTAAGTTGACATCTTGTAGAAAAACCTCCATAATGTCAAAAAAGACGACATAATGTCACTTTTCAAGATATGTAATACCCCTGCAGATGGGTATCCCTGCCATTTTAGAGTTTCTTAATAATATTTACCTTGGCAACGGGTGTTGATCGATATTGCAGATACACAAAAATTTCTTCAATAATGCTTTTGCCTTCGATGGATCTCAGTGATTTTTAATGCTGATTCCGAATCAGGCTTTTCTAGCAATCATATTATGACATAAAGATGCATTAAACCAGCTGTAGTTATAGACTACACTAGTAGAACGATTGTCCAAACAGATCTATTCCATATTGAAGCAGTAATCATTCCAAAGCATACTTACATAGTTTAAATCTCGTAACATAGAAAGTATATCTCGTGCAGGTCTTACCAATCCTTCCCAACACTGCTCGTTACCCGCTTGAATCCAGTCGGAGTGAAAGTAATAGCAATCCGCGTTTTTCGTAAAAAATGTACCCATTCAGCCACCCGCTGAGATCGAAACCAGTCATTTCATTGACTTCGATTTTCGGACCTATCCTTAATGTTTCTTCCACCGAGATCGGCGACAGAGGCAGAGCAACAACATAAATATCGAGTAGAAATTGAATATGTCTGGCAGGTATGTGATACATTGCTTTTAAATTAATATTAACTTACTCCTTGATTATTCCACAGGATTATAGCAAAATATAGATCCGAAGCGATAAGAGAAACTGCAATCGATTGACTGAAGCCCAAACTAGTACGATATGAACACAAACGATACAGAACTTTTATGCTGAATTGCAATGGCCATTTGATAGTTTCACTCGAAATCGAAGAACTGGAGCTCTTTTTGGATATTTCAAAGGCTTTCGGTAAGGTGTGGCTTGCAAGGCTTCTTTATAAATTGATCTATAAGAGATTTTTCTTTTGGCTGTCAAAATTGCTTAAGTCCTTCTTCAAAGGAAGAAAGTTCAGGATCAAAATTACGGATACGTATTCTACGTATCATCCTATCAGGCGGGCGTTTCCCAGGGCTTTGTCCTGGGGCCTATTTTTTATTGTTTATATACTCATGGTGTCCCACCCACTGTGAGTTTCTTCTTATGCGGGCGACACGGCCCTGGTAGTCTCTCCGCAGTCGTCTGATCGGGTGAGTGAGTAACTGCAGGATTCCGTGGATCAAGTGTATGAGTGGGCCCTCCGGTGGTGCATCAAAATTAATGACTCCAAGAGGTGGTCCATCTACTTTGCAATGAAAAGACATTCTGCACCAGAGCAGACGTCTGTTAACGATTTTCCTGTCCCATGGGGAACAAATTAACCAGAAATGCACTGATGAGTTTCCGGCACTTGTACCCGCTACTGAACCGAAATTCAAGATCAAATCTCGTAAATCAAATTCGCCTGTATACTACGATTGTCCGTCCTGCTTTGAGCTACGCATGTATGGCTTGGTGCTTTGTCTCCAAGTCTCGCGAGAGTACTTTGCAAATCATGTAAAACATAATTATCCTTACTATATATGTGCCCCACGGTACAACTCCAAGAACGCCATTCATAGAGATCTGCAAATACTACTGATAGGAAGCGTTAAGATAGCGCAAGCTCTCATAGCAACCCTTTGTTGGGTGCCGCAAAAACCGTCTGGCACTCTAAATTATAAATCTTGTGGCAATACTCTAACCAAATTAAGCACCTTGCAGAACACAAATTAAACAACTTACCTTTTTTATTAATTGATTCTATTCGGCCGTTTTCTCCATTCTCTCCTTTTCTTGCTTTCTTCCTCTACCTTCTACTTTAAAAAAAACTCCCCTGGCTGGGCTTAGGAAGATTTTGAAGAAAGAAACATCATTCTGCTAGACAAGAGCTCAAATAGCAAACGACGAGACGAGATTAGACAGCTTTGTCCATTTGAGAGCAGTTTTCAGTTGGCTAACAAATTTGATAGTTGATTGCTACCCTACGGCTACTACTATTCAGCATTAAAGTGCTGCGCCGCTTGACTGTCTTACGTTGGTTAAATGTGTTCAATATACGATGTATCGCTGGTGTTCGTATTGTACTGATTTGGGCTTCATTCAAATCAAAGTCTTTCTCTCAAATTCTGTCAATCAGATACAGTTTCTCTTAGCTCTATCGCATCGGAACTGTATTTGGCTATAATCCCCCGGAATAATTGAGATGCAAGTTAAAATTTACGAGCGAAACGTTGGATTTACACATAAAATCAATGTATCACAGACCTGCCAGAGGGGTATTCAATTTCTCCTCGATATTTATCTTGTTGCTATACGTCTGCCGCTAATCTCGGTGAAAGAAATATCGAAAGACAGGTTCGGAAATCGAAATCAATAAAATGACTGGTGTAGATCTGAGCAGGTCGCTGAATGGCTATATTTTCAGTGAAAAACGCCGATTGCAATTACTTTCACTCGGTCTGGATTCAAGCAGGTAACAAACAGTGTTCGAAAGGATTAGTAAGATGATTCGCAGATCTACAGTCTTTTCCATAATCACAACATTCAAAGTCCAGAAAGAAAATGCTGTTTTCTGCCTCAGGAAATGCCACAAAAATATTAAATGCACTACAATATTGATTACAATAATGATAAAAAAAGTTACAACGTTGAAATCCTGTTTCAAGACAAGCAATCTCAAAAACGGAGAAAAACATCAGAAGACATGAAAGCAACAACTTCACAGGTATTGAAAACTGATCTTTCTTAAAATTTATTAATGAAGTTTTGAAAATTTATTTAAACAAAACCCGTACTAATCGATGGAGAAATTATTAAACCAATATAACTTCTGAAGATTGTCGAATTCGCCCAAAGTTTGATCGGCGGACATCAATCTGTATTCAAAGGACTCTACAGAGTGGGCCCAATGATCGTGAGATGAAACGTTTATATATCAGTAATCCATGTAGCTCAGAATTGTCAATTTTACTTGAAAAAGGCCATAGTGGTAGTCAAAACGTCGTATAACAAACAGAAATTCAAACATACGAGGACAGTAAATTTAGTTATTAACTAACAACGTAGCGCTCGATCTAGCAACGCTGGAGGCGCTGGGCTTGGAGGAGAGACAGTGAAACATTTGATCCGCCTTCGGTACAAGTTTAAACTCGATCGAGTCATTTCGTTGTCCATAGCGAATTTTTTGCGGAACAGCTTTTCTTATTGTGTTCTAAAAATAAGTGACAATTTTTGATGATTTACGGTATTTTCAGAAAGGAGATTCAGATGATGGACCACGAAGAATAGGGCCTTCATCAATCAAGACACTGGGTGTTGCAACACGACGCCTAGTCACACAGCAATGTCAATAAACGAGTTTTTGGCCAGTAAAAACAGTCCAATGGCACCTCAGTCTCCTTATTCACCTGACATCAGTCCGTGTGACTATTTTCTTTTGTCAAAGTTAAAAAATCACCTCATTTTGGGACAGTCGAAAACATTCAAACGACTGTAACCGACCAGCTGAAGGCTATTGCAGTATCAGAGTTCCAGCACTGCTGCGAGGAGTGGAAGAACCGTCTCCAGCGCTGTGTGGCTTCAGAAGGAAGTTATTTTGAGGATGAAAATGGAATTGTAATTATATTTTAATAAAAAAATTTATAAAAAATCAGTCTCATCACTTAATTTACAGACCTCGTATATGTGGTTTGGTTCGACGAGACAATGGAGTCCTATGAGTAATCCATATTCATAATTTAATTAGTATCGATTAGCTTATCTATCCAAGCGAGTAACTAAAGATAAATATGAACTTTACATCATAAATTGCTGCTTCAACCCAGCGATATAAACCAGACTAAAAATAAATGAAAACAAAATGCATTTTAATCAACACGTCCATGAAAGAGGAATAAGTTTCGATTGCACACCAGGAAATTACCCCAAGCTTTTCATATCTCTTGCGCTATTTGTTTTTCATACGAAATCGACTGTTAGTACTACCTTTGATTCCGAAAGCGTTCGTAATTGAATTTATCGTATTAATTGATGCTTCTAAGAATGCCTGTCGAACTATGGTATATACATCTACAACTGGCCGTTACGACAGCGTCTTCATTCCCAATGTGTTGTTAAATTGAGAGACAATATGCCTAGAAAAGATCACCCCCAGTTCATTCAACCATGGCCACTTTGAAAATTAGATCAAGAAGAAAACTTTGATTTCTTTATAGTAGTCTAAATACCCCGATATTTTCGCTCCGCTTCAGTAAAAAAGATTATAAAGCAAGTATTAACGTATTTCACCTGCCGACAGCCAATCAGATACTGTATTCTAACCTCCAAAAAGGGATCTATTGGACAGTACCAGAATACAAAAACGAATTTTGAAATTTAGTTTGAAAAGGCCTAGTATTTGAATCTGCTACTGTTTCATAGATGGCGCTAGGTTCTTCAATCGTTTTTTGATATCCCTACGGTCCATTTCAATTGAGTATTTTCAGGCAAGATACCCAATTAAGATAAGCATTAGAGAGGTGTCAAAAAGAGCTTGAGGATCCGAACGCCATCTATGAGCCGATAGCGGAATCAAACACTCTAACTCTTTTCAAAGTAGATTTCACAATTTATGTTTGTGTTCAGCTGCTTTCTCACAGATGACGCTAGTATCAGCAGCAAGGCGCTGTACCGGTGGACTGCCTTATGTTGGCTGAACGCTCTCATTGGTCTGTACCTGAGTATGACATCTTCCTTTGAGATATTGTTTCTACTAAAAGTAAGATTAGCTAAATTAGCTAAAAGCTACATTCGGGATAACAGTATTTTTCTATGCAGGGTATTCAACCACTTTATGAAAATCTTACCTCAAAATTAGTCACGATACCAAATGAACAGATGTGTCCAATGTACAAATACCCATTGCACCATTCTCATCAACTATTTCAATCGAGAAAACCCTATTAACGAATTTGATATTGGTATCTATAATTTGGAATCGTATTTCATAATTGGCACTGACCTCATGACTTATTATCTAAGGGACGTACTGATAACCTTGTTTAATATGAAATAAGTAGACATCATATGATATTTTTGATATGTCCATGTACAGAACACAATAATGAGCAAATCATCAACAATACCTATTAATATTCTGCTAGTACAGAGAAACACTATTTTATTTTCGCAATTTCAGAGGCTTCCTATTATTCAAAAACAGATTGTAACTTTTGCATTTCAACTACATCTAAAAGTCAAGCAGTTGGAAGCGATCCGTCAATTTTTAAAATTTCCAGGAACCACTAACCGTTTCTAGAGTTTCCTATGAGTCTCAATCGTCATCCTGATTTAATGAAACGCCAAATCTTATTCCATGCGGAGCATCATAATCCAAGTTACAGCAATTACCTACCATCGGCGTAAAAACAGAAGGAAGACATTGCATGGCCACAGACGCTGTATGAAAAGTAAAACGACAAACGACCTTTCCCAGCAACATCGAAGAAGAATCGTGACTAATCAAAAGAGAATCTTCACATATAGCATAGTAGACCTGCTCATTCATAATCATCATTTTTTGTAGTAATTCCATTATAAATTACATCATTACACAACTACATACATTCCGTTTTTCATTTACCTTGGTACAATCACCTTTTTACGGCCATGGGTTGATTATATAGTCTTTACCTCATTCATAAATTGTCAAATGGCAGCGATGTCCAATTTTGCTCCCGCTAAGCGGCGTTTGTGTGGGTGGAGGTCAAACTATCAAAAGGTAACATACATTTCACGACTCTTTCACGTTTTGACGCCCCTTGACGTGAACATCCGATCAGAAATTGGTATCTTTGACTGTTTGTTGTTCTGTGTTCAACCTAACTAACGCCATCTATTTCTAGCTTCTGAATTTATAATTTATAATAATATCTTCGCTTATCACGCTCATCACGTCCAGATCTAGAATCTAGGTTCTTAAAATAAAAATTGTTCCTTAACCGTACATATGTTTATATCTTTTAACAGTTCACCTCTTATGGTATCTTTTAAGTTCTGCGTTTTGAGGATTTCACTATGTAATGTAAATCTAGCTAGCTCTTCAATCTGTAAGACATCTATGTACGATTTTCCTCACTATGAATCATCCGACGCTTGAAGTAGCTTTACTCCATCCACTGCTCATCTAAATCGATATGGAATCGTAAAAGAGATCTTGGTGACAAAATGGGTATAGCGCATCAAATATGAACATATCGAAATATAGAAGTATGGGAGTTTTATTTTATAAATACTACCTCGAAATGCCCCCTCAAGTGTTTCTACCGAAAACCATTCTTCGGAAAAAATATATATATAATTTACCGAATTTGCAGCACAATGTACAATTCCACCAATAACTTGAAAAATCTTTTGCTTCGAGCTATTAATTTTATTAGTCATTTCGGATTGTTTAAATACTCTACATTGAGGAGCCCTCATAGAAAAATTCCGACCCTCTCCTCCCTTGTAAAATGATCAATATTCAAAGTCTAGCTCAAACAATGATGCTAAATTTAAATCCCGAGGACCCCTTTAGACCTTTTAGGGGTCTCGCCTTCCTCATCATGAATCCTGGCGCCATCACTACGCCCCTATCTAACTGCTCCGCTTTCATTCATTGTCGTACTTAGAGACCCAGATCGTACTGATAATTACAAATAAGCATGAAACAGCGCCATACATGGATGACCCTCTGTTGATGGAACGGATGAAAACAGTATCATTAGTTTTCAATGACAAGTAAATCTTCATCTACTATATCGACGGCATCAAGCTGTCATAATGTAGTGATGGCTCGGCTTTCGATGCGAACTGAGTTCCCTCCAGTACAGACGGGAATCCTCCTAAACGTAAATCATGGGACCATCACCTGCGCCTCACCCAGTTTCGCCCACGTCTCTATTAGATTCGTCCTCGCAACGCGACTGCCGTTGACCGACCAGACTATGATACTACCTGTTCAAAGTGGGACACCCTCATATCACTAGTGAATCTCGGAACCCACTTATGCTGACGTTCAATTAACTTTAGAAAGTTTCTTCTATTAATAATTTCATATTATACGATCGATCTTGCCGCACTTGCACTTATCCAGGTCATAAACTCCTCATCATCACAGACCATTATTATGATGATTTTTTTATGAGCTCGCTTAGTGGTACCCCAGAAATGTATTTATATATGAAAGTAAAAGTAACATTGAGGTAGAGTTCTTTAGTTAGTCTGTAAGGTCACGCCTCTGGTTAGTCCTAATTGGAGGAATTTTTTATAGATAATTAATTAGTCATGTTTTTATGTGAAAAACTTTACTAAGCGCTTTACGACATAAGTGAAATTGAATTTGGTTAATTAAATCACATACACATTGCCAATCACCATTATTTGTATTCATCACGACTCGTTTTATTCGTAAGGTTAGATGATTAGATGTATTCTAAGTCACATTCAACGCAAACGGGCTTTTTTGTAAGATGTCAAAAATTATGATTTAATATGTAAGAATATAAATATTTTACTTCAATGCATTCGGCGTCAGGCAAACCTAATATAATTTAACATAGGACTCTCGTGACTGATATCGCTAACAAGTTAAAAGTACGTCAGTCACTGATGACTGATACGTCAATGTATTAGCACAGAAGTAACATGTACAAAAATGCAATTTTACAGATTTTACGATTCGCCTGGCAAGTACGTAGCGGAGTTATAGCCGCCTGGAATTAGTACTAACATTTTCCGAATGGCTTACTTGTATGTCCGTAGAAAATATAATAAGCTTGTGTAAACAGGCCCCAGTTTAAGTGCAAAGTGAGACCTTAGTTTTTACTTCCCATGCCACTGAATAGGAAGTATTGCACACGAAAAATTTCGAAAGTGAGATCTCATATTTTTGGATTTTATATGACACATATATCAAAAAAAAACATGTCATGAAATTTCTCGCAGGGTTATTACTATGTCAAGGATGAAAAAGCTTTATTGGTCCAGTGACACCGGAGAGAAATTCCAAAAACAGATAAAATAAAAATCACTGATATTTTACATTTCCCCATGCATTTGCCTTCAAAACAAAAATATTTTCAGCCGACGCATCCCGTACCTATCTGTCGCACTTGCCGGGCGCCATGGGGTTGTGAATATTGCATCTTTGTTAGTGGGTCCGAGGGACTTATGAAGGCACGTAGCAGACGGCGCGGTCATATTATCATGATATAGATTATGCTTATCAGGTAATTCAATGAGGTTACTTGATTTCGTAAGGAAACAAAAATTGTTGACAAACAGTTTCACACCACTCTGAATAAACCGTGTACAGACACCCTCTCTGCAGCAATCTGAATTTTTGTTTCATGGAAAGCCCAAATAGTGCACTAATGTTTCAAACAAAATCCACGTGTGTTTAATGCCATTGCAATTCATGGAAAATTGTACCAGAAATATACAGTCAATCTACTCGACGCCATTTTTTGACGGAGTGCAACCGGATCTGAATAAATAATCGATGTAGCTTGTGAAACTGTACTTTCATGGAAAATTTATAAATGGATAAGCTTCACATTTTCGGCAGTTCGAAGTTCCCAGTACACAAAGAAGAAAGTTATCGGCACTGTGTTGTTAATTTAAGCAGATGACACCTATTGACCTAGAATTAGTCATTTGAGAAATAGCTTATCGATTTATTTATAACTGTTCTTGGGATTTTGAATCAGTTATTGTAATGAGCGCGAACAATCGA